CAAACATGGTACTATGTGTATCTTATCGATATATCTAGATAACGAGATAGTACGAAGGGGAGTTTAAATGACAATAACTATCAAATATACGTTAGCGGTGTGGTGTGGCCCTGCAGGCCGCCGCTACAGCCGCAAGGTCACTGTCGGTAGAGCGTGGCGCCTCGACTCGCGTGATTGACACCGAGGCAACCATTAACCTATGAAGGTGCTTTCTTCAATAGCCACACTTATGCTACCTACCTACTTGTACACATGCCTCTATACCTACATCATTAAGTTCCATTTAATATAATTTTACAAGTTTCAAAGTAATGTTTTACAGGAAAATTTTGTATGTTTTGGATTTCTTTGTTGACGGTGTCGTAAAAATGGTTAAAAGGTTCAAAATTGAAGTTCGCAAATGGCACCTCATAAGTAATATAAAATCTATCGCGATCCGTTATGAATGTTGCCGGTTTATTTATGGCTGCACTCTACGTATATACAGATGGCAAAGATGTCGCACAAAGTCAAGTTCACTGGCGCGCTCGTGAATCAGCCTACCTACATAATACTCGTCTGTCAATAGAAGAAAGCAATATTCAATAGTCAGGGTTATCGTGAGACGAGGTATTCTACTGAACCAAGCATGGTAGCGTGACCAATGGGCAGTGATAATAACCATAGGTAACGAGTTACAAACAGGCACATTTATCAATATCACTCGCGAGTTGCGGATGACTGCTGCCCGATTAAACGTAACTCATTCAATATTGCTTAATAAATTCTAGTGTTTAGAGTAAAAGGGTCGCCTCCATTAACACACTTTTTAATAAGGCTTGCTATTTCTAGAGCGACATTCTAGTTCAACCAGACTCCACGTGGCCTTTACCTAGTTTGGCAGGTCGGTTAGCGGAAATAGCAATTGTTTCATAATTTACTTAATATTGTTTAGCTACACAATAATCACGACGTAATATAGTTTAATTCGTTTTTTCGTTTACTTGCTCAGGTAAAGGGAATTATTATGAATTTAACAGTTTTATATTGAGGGTGTCTGAAAAAGTTTCTATACGTAGTAAAATACTTAAGTGGTAGAACGTTGGTATCAATAAGTTATATCCGACACTTACATAATTAATTTATTAAACTATTTTTCCACCACAAGTAAAGTGCATTTTCGTGTGACGCCGAGAAAATATCAAAGGTCTTAACGTGACATTACGTTTTTGTACTGTTACTATAATTTTAAATATTCCGATAAAAAGTTAGCCACTCTCAAGGCACTTTGAATATAATTACATAGAATTACATTAGTACTAATCGCCATTGCAGTAATGAAATTGTAAAATATTTTAACACTTTTAAGCTTCAAAAGATTGCTTGGAAACCCATTTGCAAAAGGCCTTTTTCTTTGATGACGTGTGCAGATAAATGGTGATCGCACGATAGCTGAACGTTTGTTAAGGTTTAAAACGAAGTGTCGGGGCGGTATTGCGCTTTGGTTATAACTATATTTTAGTGCTTTGTGTGTTCTATCTGATAACAGTACGCTGCATTAATGTTTATTTCTTGCCGCATAGTTAAATAAACGGTGGACCTCATTTATGACACAAGTGTGTTGTTATTTCCAGAACTAGACCGGTAATTCCCAAACTGTTTTTACAGTTTTTAACGTCTTTTTTCGGGTCCGATTTTCACTATCCATTTTCTGTTCTTGTCCTCAATTTTGACGGAGATTGATACCTGATATTGTAAAATCAATGTTTTAAATGTTTTGTCGGTTATGTTATAAACTGGACGATAAAGAATTCTGTTATCAAAGCACACGTCTAGGGTCGTAGGCGGTTAATATTTTGTAGGCATTATAGTGCAATGACTAAACCAATTGTTCTGAACTTTGTTTTGTTAAAAAGTGACTATGAATACTGTGATTCATGATGTTTAAACTGAATAATTACACGGCATTCTAGTATCTAGTTCAGTCATGGTGACATGACAATTGACATACTCAGTAGGTAATGCAATAGTCCGTTAGTCAAGTGTAAGCTGTGATTAAATCCTCGTTATAAAGGACATCCAGGCTGTGGCCTGTAGCCTGTGACAGGTTGTAATCGATTATCGATTGAAAGTGAACTGTAATAATAGGATACGAAGTCATGATCCTATTTAGAGTTCAAGTACCGGTGTATCATTATGATTGAGGAAATTGATTGGTATAATAGCGTAAGCTACTCAATCTCCATTTTGTACGGGAAATATAACATATCTGGTGAAAAGTGATTGTTTCATTAAACAGGTGCACTTCTGCCTTTGCGGAATAAAGAGGCGAGAAATTATTTATCTCCTGTATTGTAACTAACTGCAGCTAAATAACATTTCAACATTGAATAAAGAAACGTCTATTGTTCTAATAACATCTTCACATAACTTTTCATAGAAATCTTTGCAATAATTTGCTGTTTATTAACTGCATGTATAACGTTCTGATAGCAATATCTTTATGTAGGAGAGCCTGCGTGGTGTGACAGGTTTACAGTTTAACTGGAACGCTGTAACTCTGATCGTTAATTGTAATTATGATAATGCAAGTGCGTATGTAAACGTTAATCCTGCGCTCATTCTCCATGTCCTTATTGTTATTGCAACAATCTTTTTGACCGGATATAAAACAAGGAATACTTTCTAATTCTCGTAGCAGGATTTCGTAGCGTTCGTAGCCCACTCGTAGCAGGACTAAAAATTTTCGTAGCCGATCTTCTTCGCGAAAGTATTTAGTGTTATAATAATAATAAGGTTTTTAAATGCTGAATAAGTGTTTTCCACGATTTTTACTAATATTATAAATGCGAAACTTTGTGAGGACGTACAAATGTATGTGTTTGTTACTCTTCAATGCAAAACTGTTAGGCGAAATCCGCCTCATTTGTTTCAGACTATTCTGGCACAACGCAGATCAAAAAATAAGTTAAATTGTATCATTTACAAAATAAGGACAAACAGAACTTTCTAATTTTCGTAGCGTTCGTAACCCATACGTAGCGGGACTACGATACTACGATTTCGTAGCAGATTTGCTACGACAGAGAAAGTAAAGATAAAACTTTAGAATTTTGATTCCAGGTTTGATATTTGTATTAATGAGAAATCTCCAAATAAACCATTTGATAAGTAAAGAATCAACCGTAAGAAGCATAGCATTCCCAATGACCAAATCTGGCTGCACTTGGAAAATATAATTTATGTTTTAGTTATACTTGGCTATTGCCTTATTCCCAGAATTGGGAATTAATATAGACGAATTAATTTCAATCAACATGTGTTGTAATTGTAGTAAATATATAAAACAAAGTACAGCTACACGTGTCCATTTACAGGCTATTGTTTTCATTTTCCTCTTTGTTGTGTGCAGACATTCCACTACTTGAGAAATATTAACTATGTTTGTAATTTTTTCAATAAACGATTCACCTTAATGTGAAATTTCAATACAAACCACAGCCACAAATAGTCGATTTTATTGACTTGTTCTCTCATTTTATGTACCTCTAGTTTTTATTTGCGGCTTCAATGTTATGAACATGGAGTTTAGGAATTAATTGAAAGTTATAGTTTCATCCATCTCTTACCCTTTCAAGTATTTGCTTTGAAAAATAGCTGGTCAACATGTACATACATGTTCCACCAGTATCTACTATTGAAACAAATATTATGCTATTATTCAACAATATGAATGAATGTCGTTCACGAGTTTACGTGTGAAAATATAAAAAAAAACATAGACGTAAAAAATAAACTGAATTAGTCTTATTTGTACTGAATATTAGTCAGGATTAGGATGATTGACTGTGACATTGAAGAGGATATTTAACTGCGACCTTTACCGAAAGCAGTATACTGCGCAAACACGAACGAACAAACGGAACACTTTCATTTCGAAATTGTCCTTTTCATCAACCTCTGTTTGATCAATTTTCCATCGATATTATCGATGATGATAGGAAACGTTGTTTGCTAGGAATGTGTATATTTCATAGATATTCGATATTCATAAAGACGAAAATTGATGTTTGCTGTACATCGAAGCATGGAATCAATATGGGTGGGTGGCATAAGTACACCGCCCCGTACACTAACGATCCCTTAATGGTCATCGGTGTTTGACATGTGCGAGAAACAAACAGTTCAGCGGGCCATGGGACATTACTGTTCCAATGAAAGAAATATTAGACACGAATGACTTACGGTCAACAGCACAATTTTAGAGTTTAATGTAATTGCAGGTTGTTATGTTTCATACCATTCGTCAATTTGAATATTTCGTAATGTTAACAAATACTCATAGTTTATGTAGCATTCATTTACCTGAGTTCACCATACATAAACTATGTAATATAGATTTAGACTATTTTTGAGACATATCATAGAATTTTTACTTCTTTCATTCTTAAAAACGCGTTATAAATTAAATGTAGTAATGAAAAATACTCTCAATTTTGTACACTATCCAGTTCAGCTCGGCCGATGTATGTTTATCAATTTACCGGTTATTTTGATGTCGCCAGTAATTGCCGTGATGGCTTTCAATTAACAACTGTAGCTCGAATGATTACCTCCACTTTATAAGCGCTTAGCGACACTAAATCGAGTGGAAATAAAAACGAAATTATGTTTATGTTATAAACATTGTAATTATTCGTATAATTGATAGGTTGGGTACTTAGTAACAAAAGTCATGGGCAGACTATTTAATTATTGGGAACAGTACTACATACCAGAGAAGATTTAGTCAAACAACAAACAAGATAAGATAAATTGTGATGAGTGGGACATATCACTATTGTTACGTTTATAAGAATAGATGGACAGATTATTTTGCATAGACACGGTGACAAATATTTTGGAATATCATAACATCGTACGACTGACACTCACGATGTATCTAATCTACTCTTTCTCGGAAATAACACTATACTTATCTCCTGTATACTTTTTAAATCTATCATAATTACATTTCTCAGGTGAAAATGTCATACATTGAGATTTACAATGAAATTATACGGGACCTGTTGAATCCGAGTGCTGGGCCCCTAGAGCTCCGAGATGAGGGTGGTAGCGGAGCCCCTGTAGTCGCTGGCTTGAGTGAGCTGAAGGCAAACAGCGCTGCTCACGTCGCAGAGCTGCTTGCGAGGGGAGACCGTTCCCGCACTGCAGAGCCTACACATGCAAACCAACATTCTTCCAGGGGGCATGCCCTTCTCAGGTAAAATACCCTTCTCAGGTCTAAATTGAATGATGTGTGTTGTGATCGATCTTTGGAATTTCTTGTAAGAGTCCAAAATTGCATCTGATGCTAAATAAGGCTGTCAGCCTGTGTTCATATTTACTCCAATTACGAGGTAATGTAATTAAAATATAACATTTTGCCGAAAATAAGCATATGTAGGTATATCTACAGATCAATTCAGAGAAATCTGGGATTGTATGTTATGTATGTATATTTTGCTATTATTTTTTGTAATGCAAGATTATGACGATTCACAGTGTAACAGTCAGTCAACAAGTGGAGAAGGGAACCCAACGTGGTCGTCTTTTCCTCATCGATTTGGCGGGCTCGGAGCGAGCCGGTCTTCGTGCGAGACGACTAGAGGGTGCACACATTAATCGATCACTTTTAGCTCTAGGAAACTGCATCATGGCTCTTTCGGGTGGTGCAAGGTAATTACTACTTACTATTTACAATAATAGGCTGTCATGTTATTTATTGTCTTAATAATAATCTATACAAGTAACTGCAGACATAAGAAAAATTAAGAGAATAATAATCACTTTGGAATATTTTTTTGCCCTAAAATTTAAGGTCCTAATAAGATGAAGTTAACAATACCTTATATTCACGTAGTTAGCCTCGTTAGACTCCAAAATGTATTTTTACGTTGAAAGCGCCTTGAATGTTTGTGATTGCAATAATCATTGCTACAATCATTGCTGTGCATTGCTACAAACATCGCAATGGTACAGTTGTTAATAGAAATTATTGGATATTCCTTTTAGTTTCATCATGAAAGTGTATGGGGTATGTAGGAATCGTAGTAATTGGCGTTCCATAGTCTCTGCCTACTCTATGGGACACAGGCGTGAAATTATGTATGTATGTATATCTATATACCTATGAAAGTGTACCTTTTTTTGAGAGCAATGCTATTGTCAAATCCATTTCCACTAGCACAAAAGTAATAAAAGTACATAGGTAGTCAACAAAAGCGACGCTCTGAATTGGAATCAACAGATTTTGCTGTCAGAAAAACCATAGGAGTTTACAGTATAATCTTACACTTACTAATATTATAAAGGTGAAAATTTATTAGTTTGTGTATTTGAGAGTTTGTGTGTATGTTTGTTACTCCTCATCAT